AATGAAACAAAATTTTCCGCTCAAAAGGAATAACTGTTTTTCGAATAGATGGAGCCACTTTCGAATCGAATTTTTGGCGGTTTTTTCTTATTCTTTTTCTTAGAAGATGAAAATTGTTCTTTCATCATTTTCTCATCTTGTAAAAATTGTTTCTCTCTCATTTTGACCGTTTTTTTAATTTGATTTTTAAACTCTTTTTAACTACCTCATCCGTTATCTTCCATCTTCCATCTTAATTACCTCACCCTTTTCTTCTCCCTCGTGATAATTTCTTTTGTTTCAGTTAACTGAAACAGTTAACTTTTTCTCTTCATTTTCTCTCATTCACTTACTTAAACTCTTGCTTTTATTTGCATCTTTTTCCTTGAACTTATCTTTTTCTCTCTTTCCTCATTAAACGAAATTGTTTTGTTTCTTTTTTTTTCTTCTTTAATCCTTTGAATCTTGTGAATAACGAAAATGTCTCCTAATAAGATGTACGTTGTCAAGCGAAATGGTCGACAAGAATCGGTTATGTATGATAAAATTACCTCTCGAGTAGCTAAACTTTGCTATGGATTGAACATGGATTTTATTGATCCACCTGCGATTACTAGAAAGGTTATTGATGGTCTATATCCTGGTGTATCTACCGTTGAATTGGATAATCTGGCTGCTGAAATTAGTGCTAGTATGACCTCGCAACACCATGAATATGCCATTCTTGCTGCTCGAATCGCCATTAGTAATCTACACAAAGAGACGAAGAAAAATTTCACCGAGGTTATCGAAGATCTTTACAAAATGTATGATGCTGATTCTAAATCTCCTTCACCCATGATTGCTGAGAAAACATATCAAATTATCATTGCCAATTCAGAGACTCTCAATTCAGCTTTAATCTATGATCGGGATTTCAGGTAACCATAGTAGTTTTGTGATTAATTTCCCACCAGAATTTAATCAACACGTTATCTATGTAATTAAGAAATTGTTGTGTAACATTTTTCTTATCTACATATCAATGACCTTGTATTTCTGATAATGTTTGTAATTGGTTTTTATTTATTTTTGTTTTTCTTCCTCAATTGATAATATTTCTTTTCATTTTTTATCGTTGATGGTTTACAGTTATGATTATTTTGGCTTTAAAACCTTGGAGAGGTCTTATCTACTCAAAATAAAAGGTAAAGTGGTTGAAAGACCTCAGCACATGTTAATGAGAGTTGCTGTTGGAATTCATGGTGAAGACATTGAATCTGCTCTTCAAACCTATGAACTTATGTCCCAAAAATGGTTCACTCATGCATCTCCCACTCTTTTTAACGCTGGTACACCTCGACCTCAACTATCAAGTTGTTATCTTCTTACCATGAGAGAAGACAGTATCGAGGGAATCTCGGATACTCTTAAAGATTGTAACCTCATTTCTAAATATGCTGGTGGAATTGGACTTAATGTTCACTGTATTCGAGCAAAAGGAACTCGAATTGCTGGGACCAATGGTACTTCTGATGGTCTTATACCAATGTTAAAGATGTTCAATGAATCTGCTCGTTATGTTAACCAGGGTGGTAAACGACCTGGTGCCTATGCTATTTATATTGAACCTTGGCATTCTGATGTTTTCGATTTCATTTCTTTGAGGAAAAATACTGGTAAAGAAGAGATGAGAGCTAGAGATTTATTTTTGGCTCTTTGGGTCCCCGATCTTTTCATGGAACGAGTTAAAATGGATGGCATGTGGAGTCTCATGTGTCCACACAAATGTCCAGGTCTTTTTGAGGTTTATGGTGATGAATTTGTTGAGCTTTACACCAAATACGAAAATGAGAAACGTTACAATCAACAAATTAAAGCTCGATCTCTCTGGTCGGCAATAATTGACGCTCAAATGGAAACGGGTGTCCCTTATATGCTTTATAAAGACCATTGTAATAATAAATCGAACCAGAAAAATCTTGGTACCATTAAGTGTTCCAATTTGTGTACTGAAATTGTTGAATACAGTTCACCCAGTGAAGTGGCCGTTTGCAATCTTGCCTCAATTGCAATTAAAAAGTTTGTCGATGAAGCGACCCGACAATTTGACTTTAAAAAGTTAAAAGAAGTCACTAAAGTTGTCACAAGAAATTTGAACAAAATCATCGACATAAACTTTTATCCTCTCAAAGAAGCCGAAAATTCAAATAAAAGACATCGACCTATTGGCCTCGGAGTCCAAGGATTAGCTGACGCATTTCTCATGATGAGATATCCATTCGACAGTCCACAAGCTCGAAAATTGAACATTCAAATATTCGAGACAATCTATTATGGAGCATTAGAATCAAGTTGTGAATTAGCTGAAGAACTTGGTCCATATGAAACATATCAAGGATCACCCGCTTCCCAAGGTATCTTACAATACGACATGTGGAAAGCTGAACCAAGTGACCTTTGGGATTGGGCAGAATTGAAAGCTAAAATCGCTAAACATGGTCTTCGAAACAGTTTACTTCTTGCTCCCATGCCAACCGCATCAACTGCACAAATTTTGGGAAACAATGAATCGATTGAACCATATACCAGTAACATTTATACACGACGAGTACTTTCCGGTGAATTTCAAGTTGTCAATCATCATTTGGTTAAAGATTTAACCGAACGTGAACTTTGGACTGATGATATGAGGGAGAAAATTGTTTTCCACCGAGGCTCAATCCAAGCGATCGATGGTATTCCCGAAGATATCAAACAATTGTACCGAACTGTTTGGGAAATCCCTCAAAAACATATTCTAGAAATGGCCGCCGATCGTGGAGCCTTTATTGATCAAAGTCAATCGTTGAATATTCACTTCGAACGACCTACCGTTGCTAAAATGACCTCAATGCATTTCTATGGTTGGGAACTTGGTCTTAAGACTGGAATGTATTATCTACGCAGTAAACCCGCAGCTAACGCTATTCAATTTACCGTTGATAAGAAAAAAATGTCGCAAACAATTAAACAACAATCAACCAAACCAACCCCAGAGGAACCAACGGAAGAGGAAATATTTACCTGTTCTATTCAAAACAAAGATGGTTGTCTAATGTGTAGTGCCTGATAAACTAACGAAAGTCCAAATTTTACTTAATTGTTCTTAATTGTGTTCCTTATCATGTTAATCATCTTCCATATCTCACTTTTTATACTCTTTTTTTAAAAAAGCAAACTTTCAATTGCTAAATTGTTCTCATTAGTTAACACAAAACAAAACATTCATATTTTAATTTCTTATCGAATATAATGTTTGTAGTCACAATTAATCAAGTACATAGCAAAATTTTGTTACGAAAAAAACTAAATTGCTCAATAAACAATCAAACAATTTAACTAATCATTTTTCCACTTAATTGTATCAAAACCTAACCAAGCCAATTGAATTCATTTACTAATTTAGTCATAACGATAAGTTAATCAACTTTTGATAATCACGTTCACGAAAACTTTTATCACCAATCAACTGATTGTGATGAAATTCAACAGTAATTACCAGTTGAAAACAATTAAAATCCAAAGCTAATTTCATTCAAATTTTATTGACGTTTCAATTACAATTAAAAGGATCACAATTAAGCTTAATCAAATCGTCACTAGCTAATCAACATTGATAGTAATTGTTGATTTAATCTTTCATTAAAAATAAATCAACCTTTTAATTGTAACAGTGTTTTTGGCGTTGACTGATAAAATTCAAGTAATTGATTGCAATTAAATTGTTACCAATAAGAAATTAGTTTCTATCATCAGTTAGTTAATCAACTAAATTATGGACTTGACAAGACTGACCCTTGACCGATTCAAGCCAATGTAAGTAAATCTGATTTGTCTTTAATACTGATTATATTCAAACCTTTTATCAATTTAATTATTTCAATTGTCCAACCAAAAATCAACTAATTGTGATTAAAATGAGTAGACGATTATCATCAGACAAGATTAATAAGAAAACATTTCAAAATTTGTTGTCAAGACAAAAATCAACAATTGTAATAACTTTAACTCTAACAACTCTCAGTTTAAATTTGCAAATAATTTAATCACAATTAAGTAAATTAATTAATCTTTTCAACTAATTGTAACAATTTGTTTCGTCCGTTGAAATGAATGGACTTTATGTGTTATCCAAAATACCAAGAGAATCGTAAGTAAATCAAATTGAATCAACTGTAATTCTAATCTCAACAACAATCAGCTCATCATTTGACACTTTTCTTCCCTACAATTAACTAATTGTCTTCCTTAATTATTATCATTAACTGTCCAGTTCATTGAAAGCCAAAATAGGTCAAGGTGTTCCCGCTTTGAGACAGAAATTAAAATTAATTTGTAAAGATAATCCAGTTACCGAGGAATTGTTTATCAACGTCTTACCCTCTAAGAATGTGAGTGATTAACCAACAACAATTAGTTAATTTCTCGATTTGCTTGGATTTCCTAATTGTTTGATCCTTTTTCAGCCCGAATTCCCGAGGAAATTTTTCCGACTAGTCACCAAGAACAAGACTACAATTGAACAGGAGAGACTCGTTAAGAAGATTGTCAAATTAGCAAAGAGCGAAGATGCAATCAAATTAAAATGTCTCTTTGAAATCTACGATTTTAATGGTTAGTAAATTGTTACCGATTTTAAAACTGTTTACATTTTTCTTTTCGAATTTTTTCCCCTCGAATATTTTCAGACGATGGTACATTGTCCTTCGACGAGGTTGGATGTTTACTACGAGCTTGTATGGCAGAAAATGGTCTACAATTTACCGAAGATGAGATTGACCAGTTGACCGCAACCTTTATGGAAGAAGCTGACCAGGACAATTCGCAAACAATTGACTTCGTCGAATTCAGATCACTTCTTAATCGTTACGAGGCTTTAGTTGAATGTATGTGCCGATCATTTGAACGATGGATGTTACTAAGTCCAGCCGAATTCACGACAAAATCGACTAAGAAAGTGTCCCTGTGGCAAATTGAGTACATTAGAAACAACGCTCTAAGTGTCATCACCTTGACCATTTACGTTTTATTCAGCGCTGGACTTTTCTTTTGGCGAATCGCTTATTTCACGGTACAAAAGTCGAACCCTTTTATTACAATCGCAAGAGGTGCAGGTAATCAGAGTGCCCATTGAATTTTGGCTTAATTGTTATCAACAATTAGGTGTAAACATTAATTTCTATTCTCTTCCTATTTTATATTAGGAATGCTTCTTAACTTTAATTGTGCTCTCATAATGTTGTTCATTTTACGACGAAGTATAACTCGACTTCGTATTTTGGGCTTTGCATCGTACCTACCACTCGATAAGAATATTAAATACCATAAATTCTGTGGTTATATTATTACATTTTTCGCTCTTCTTCACACATTCGCTCATCTCGGTAATTATGGTAAGTTTGATTGATCGCAATTCGCTCAATGGTTTTCTAATCTGTTCGAGTTTTACTTTTAGCTCTAATCTCCGCCGAAACTGGACAACCTTATGTGCGAATGATTTTTAGCGCTCATCCAGAATATTTTACCTTCTTCTTTGGTGCTGCGAATATAACTGGATGGGTTTGTTTGGGTTCTTTGTTTATTCTTGTTCTTTCCTCGCTTCCCTTTGTCAGAAAATCTGGACATTTCGAGGTATGAATTTATCGCTAAAGAAGAAAACATTTAGAACCAATCTAAAGATCGTATTTTCTTTTTAGATATTCGCTTATTTCCATTTGTTCTACATCGTCTTTTGGTCAGTTCTACTTCTTCATGGACCCAAATTCTGGATCTGGTTAACTGTTCCTGGAATTTGTTTCATTATCGAGAAGGTTCATTATTTCTCGAGTATGATGGGCGATTCTGGGAATAGTTATATTGTTAGATGTCGAATTTTACCTTCGAAAGTTAGTCATTTAGCTATTCGTCGACCTAAACATTTCGATTATCATCCTGGCGATTGGGTCTATATTCAGATACCAAAGATCTCTTCATGGGAATGGCATCCGTTCACCATTAGTAGTGCTCCAGAAATGCCCGATGTTATATTCCTTCATATTCGCTCTGTCGGCGAATGGACAAATCGATTGCATTCATTACTCTTGGAACAAGAAGAGGCCGGATTATCTTCGATTAAAAAACCATCGGTGAATGTCAAATGTCCAGATTTAGCGGTTTCGATTCCACCTACACCCAAATCGATTGCATCTCAATCATCAATGAGTTCTAATGAGATTACAGAGACTCCGTTTATGATTCGTCGAGGAAAAGTTCGTTCACCAACGAATCGAGAACAGTTATCAAGCTATCGACAAGTTATTCAAGATCTTACAGATCGATTAGGATCCATAGTTAGTGCTAATGCTTCAACCAGTTTCCAAGTGATTCAATTTACCCGACCAATTGGTCGGTGTTGCGATGACGATGACGAGGCTCGATTTTATGCTTTTAAGGACAATGATCGAATCGACGCTTTAGAGGTCACATCAATGATTACCGGCGAAAAAGTTGTCTTGAGTTCAACACCAAAGCCAATCAATAGTTCAAAAAGTTCATCGGTAAAATCGATGAAATCAATTTCTTCACAAGGTTCGAGTTTCAAAAACTTACCTGGAACTTTGATTCGAACACCACTTGAACTTCCAGTTCGCCTTGATGGGCCTTACGGGTCACCATCGTCTCACATTTTCAAAACCGAACACGCAGTTATGATCGCAACGGGAATCGGTGTGACCCCGTTTGCCTCAATTCTTCAAAGTATAATGTTCAGATACGCTAAATCGAAACACACTTGCCCCCAATGTAAGCATTCATGGTCGGACGCTGTACCGACCGATATCATGAGGTTAAAAAAGGTCGACTTTATTTGGTTAAATCGAGATCAAAAGTCATTGGAATGGTTTGTCCATCTATTAACTCAACTCGAAATGACCCAAGCAGAAATTGATTCGAAAAATCGATTCTTGGACATTCACATTTTCATTACATCGGCTTTGGATGCTGCCGATATCCGAGCACTTGGCCTGCAATTGGCATTGGGATTAATGCACGAAAAGAAAGAGAGAGACCTGATCACCGGATTACGAACAAAAACCAAACCCGGAAGACCAAATTGGAACCAGGTAATTATAAGTATAGTAAACTAATTAACTTGAAATTTCCACAATTAACTAAAAACTTCTCTTATAATTAGCTGTTCGATACCATCAATGTCTCGAAAAAAGGTAAGGTCACAACATTTTACTGCGGTGCTCCAGTTCTGGGAAAACAATTACATAACCTTTGTAATCAATATGGTTTCAATTTCCACAAAGAAATTTTCTCTTAATTAATTTGGAGAAAAATGTAAATTACAATTAACGTTTCATGTAATCATGTTGATCTTTTTTTTGTCTCGAATTTGAATTTGTTTTATCACAATGAATTTTTGCTTCTCCCACTCAATTTGATATTGTAAATATAAATTGAACATCGAGAATATAATAACAATAAATTATATACAATGTATGAGTTAATTGACTTTAAAAAGAGAAACAATTTTCTTTACAATTAGTTAAACAACAACAACAACAACAACAAGAATAATAATAATATAAATGAAATGATATTGAGCATTTTGATTCAATTCTTTGCCTGTGGTAACAATTTATGGCGGTAATTTCTCAACACTAACTGGATCAACGGGAAGAGTTTTATCTGTATCAAGATCAACTGGTGGGCTAATTTTTTCTTGCTGTTTTTGACCGGAAGACGAATTATTATTACTACTATTATTATCATCGTCATCTTGAATCATCTCCATGATGAAATGAGTTGATGACCAAATTCTGAAACCATTTCTCAAGGCAATTAAAGCACCAAATAGTAAAAAGCCAAATAGAAGAGCGTAAAATGTTGTCCATAAAAGTAGAATGATTCGTAATCCTTGTGATACCTCTTGATATGATGTATAAAATTGTAGATAACCGATTAGGACAAGGTAAGAAAGGAAAAGGAAAAGACAAGAACCAATGACAATACCAATTAGAGCTCCTTCATTGTCAATTAAATAGTGGAAAAAGTGATCAGGTTTCCGTGTAAAGAAAATACCTGAATAGGGTTGTTTACATACTCCACATTTATCCGAGTGTTTAATATCCATCCATTGTTTGAGACAAATTTTATGAGAATATTTTTGGCTTCCCTTACATTCACAAGGAATAATTAAATTCTTTGAATTATCTGATTGTAAACAAATCCGACATTCTAACAAATCCGTTGATTGATTTTCCATCATGTTTACCAAATCAAGAACGAAACAAAAACAAAACTCAATTTAAGATGATCACATTTAGAATGGAGCAAAAAATAAACAATTTCGAAATGGTGGAACAATTAATCAGCTATTACATTAATTTAGATTGTTGTCTAAAAATGATACTTTAATTATCCTTTAATTGTGGAGACAACAAAAGATTAACAATTTTTATTGTTTCGCTTTCGCTGCTGTTAAAATAGCAAAAGAATTTGCTATTCTCACTACTAGTCACGTGTTCTCATAAGAAGCATGTAAATATTTGGTTAATTTGTTTTTCTCTCTGAATTGTTTTGATTGATTGCTCTTCCATTTTCTTAATTGTTGTGACCATTTAATTAGATTATTTAGTCACTTGGACGCTTGTTCGATTTTCAACTCTTGCTTCATCTTTGTGTGTCTGTTTTTTTTTCTTTGTCTCTCTTTGTTTGGTTTTTTGGTTGTTCTTCAATTCAATTTAATCTCTTTTGTTAATCATGGCTTTTAGAGTTCAATTTGAATCTAATGATGAGGTTGGTGTTTTCGCCAAATTAACTAATAGTTATTGTTTGGTTGCCATTGGTGGGTCACAGAATTTTTATTCCATCTTTGAAGCTGAATTAAGTGATATCATTCCAGTAATCCATTCATCTATTGGTGGTTGTAGGATTGTTGGTAGATTAACTGTTGGTAATCGACATGGACTTTTGGTTCCTAATACGACAACCGATCAAGAATTACAACATTTAAGAAATTCTCTTCCCGATTCTGTTAAAATTCAACGGGTTGAGGAAAGACTTTCAGCTCTTGGTAATGTTATCGCTTGTAATGATTATGTTGCTCTGGTTCACCCTGATCTTGATAAGGATACACAAGAAATTCTGGTTGACACTTTAAAGGTTGAAGTTTTCAAACAAACAATTGCTGATCAAGTTCTAGTTGGAAGTTATTGTGCTCTCTCCAATCAAGGTGAATATACAAACCATAATGGAAATTTAAACTCGATTGTCTAATCTATTGTTTTTCTCCTCCTCTTCATCTCTCTCTCTCTCTCTCTCTCTCTAATTAGGTGGACTTGTACATCCAAAGACCAACATTGAACACATGAATGAACTATCAACACTCCTACAATTACCTCTTGTCGCTGGAACAGTTAATCGTGGTTCCGATGTTATCGGCGGCGGAATGGTTGTCAATGATTGGAGTGCTTTCTGTGGATTTGATACAACGGCGACTGAATTATCACTGATTGAGAACATATTTAAACTAAACGAAGCAGCCGGACCCAGTTTAATACAACAGAATATGCGACAATCATTAATTGAGAAACTTGTTTAAATTTACCAATGATCGAGAAAACAAATTAAAAATGGAATCGCAATTTTGCCAGTGAAAAGCAAATCAACAAAACAATTCTAATTAACTGAAAAAGACATAATGTAAACTAATCAACCCAATACCTGATACATTACCTGTAACAATCAGTAATGATTTATATGGTTTATATATTATATTATATCATAAAAATCTGATCAACAAAGGAGATACAATATTTAATGACATAAAATTAAGAGGCTGATCAAACAACAATACCGGAGGGAAGCTAATTATAGTATAAATATCTAACAATTTAATTGTTATTCTGACGGAGAGGGAAGATACATTATATAAATATATTCAGTCCAATTTAAGGCCAATTAACTTCCGTTAATACACAATTGTAATAACGAAAAAAAAATGTAAACAAATTTGGATTTGGTTTTCCTTTTACAACTTTTGACCCTCAAAATTGTAATTAAGTGAATCTATTGATATCATCTCAATCTAAATCATTACATTTAATGATTTTACAATTGATTCATTTTATATTAATCATCTCTCTTGGTCTTCTAATCATCAAAGTTTACATCATGAACAGGTGAAAAGCTGATTGTTAATTGTTTGCTAATTATGTGAACCTAAAGCAAGAAAAGCAAAATTAACAAACAACAAAAATCAACAACAAAATGTACAACACTTACAATTAAATGATTTCTGATTCACTTGTAACAATTAATATAATGTAATTTAACTTGAGATTGTCACACATACACACACATAGGATTTTATTATTATTATTTTTGATATTGTTAAAATTGAATCAAAGATTTGATTATATTGATGATAATAACTTTTTTCCTAACTGGTTGACTGATTTACACACAGAATTATGATTATTGTTGATTAACTAGTGTTCTGATTGAATGAACATAGATTGTTGATTGTTTTTCCCATTAGACTTGATTCTTAATTTTTATGTTTAATATAACAATTGTATTACGAACATGATATTATATAGTTATGGAAACTTTGGCTTGGATTAAATAGTATTGGGATTAACTAGATTAAAAAAGAGAGAGAGAGAGATTAGTTGATTAGCCCTTGAAATGATGTTGAGTTTCCCGATGACGACGGAGATCAACTTTCCGTTGGAAAGCTTTGGGACAAGAATCGCACGTGAACGGCTTATAACCAGTGTGTTTCCTCGTGTGAGTGATTAAATTTGACGATTGACTAAATGATTTACCGCAAACGGCACATTTATGAGGCTTTTCCCCGGTATGTGTGTATGTGTGTTTCTTCATGTCCGATTTTTGATGAAATCGTTTACCACAATACGGACACGGGAAAGGCCTCGTATTTGAATGGATTAGTAGGTGAGTTGATAGAGTTGATGATCTTTTGAACAATTTATTACATTGATTACATTTGAAGTGTCTCCCATCTGAATTAATCACTTTACTTGACGATGAAATGATTGTTTGATAACTGTTATTGTCTCCATTGAGTTTACCGTTATTATTATTGTTGTTGTTGATATGAAGATGGTGATGATGATGATTTGATGATGAGGATGAAGATGATGATGATAAGTGAGCTTCTTGATGATAAAAATGTCCATCAGGATAATGGAAACCTTGAGGTAGACTAATTGTTGTTGAAATTGTTGGTGATGTGATTGTATTAACTTTGGTTGATGTTGGCTTTTGATTGTGTTGTTTTAGTGATGTTGGTGGAGGAGTAATTAAAGATGATGATGATGGAGATAAAGATGATGATAATGAGCAAGATATTGGAGGTGATAGTGATGAGGATGATGGTGAATTTTTGTTTGACTTAATTGTTAGATTAAGAGGTTCATCTGGATTAGATGTTGATTGTAAATCTAAAAGTTTTGCTATTGAATAATCGGATACTTTAATTGGTAGTGTTACCCCATTGGGAACTGTGTTCTCGTTACGAATTGATTGTGGACTCGAACAATTTGAATAGTAACAATTAAGAGCTTTTAATTTGATTGTCTGTTGATTGTGATAATCAAGTAATGATCTGTGAATCGGATGATAGATTGGAATCAATGATTTACCTTCAAAGTGCAATGGAAATGAATCTAAATTGAATCAAGAGAAATGAAAAGAAAATTAATTATTTATATTCACAAAATTTATCGAAATTCAATCAATTTGTTTTTTTTTTGATAGAAAAGTAAATAACTAATTAAAGTTAATTGTCACATCATCATTGAGAACAATTAAATATTCGTTGAACTTTCCATTGAAAAGTCATCGAACCACAATATCAATTGATTGAAGTTACATTGAATCTTTTGATTAACTTAAATTGTTACCGTTCAAATATAATCATTTTTACTTCCTCACGTTAATTGTTTATATTTAATCACCTTTATCAAATGATTAAGTTGATTGTTAGATAATGAAAGACGATTGATAAACATCAATTGTCATCAAACAATCAGCAAAAAACACCAAATCAAACAAAAATCAAACATTAATTGTAAATCAATATACTAAACAAAGTTAATTGTTTATAACAATTAACTGTAAATATTGAATTCTGGTTTTGTATTATTTAAAATATTGAATCCTTACAATTAATTTGATTAATATTTCCATCAGATATCAATTTTCAAGATTAAATTGCTACCACGAGTTACCACGAGCTAATCAGTCAACCAAATTAATCAATTGATTATTGGAAAGTTAATCATAATCAATGACAGGTGATATTAAATTGTCTTCCAAGGCTTCAAATCAGTCAACTTAATCCGATACAAAATTAAATACTAATCATAAATTATCACAAATAATCAGGAAGATGATTAACATTATCGGCATATTGATTGTGCAAAGTTAATTAATTAAAACAATTAAACTATTTTTCAAAAATAATGTACAATGTTATCAACCTTCAAGCTTAATTGTTACCAAAAAAAAGATATATATTAATTAATTGTATTCCTGGTTCACAATCTTATTAACTATTGTCACTTAATTAACTGTCAATTATGGTTAATTATTGGAGCCAACAATTAACATCATAATAAGTTGTCAATTAAACTAATTGTTTCCTAATATTTGGAGTTCATTGTCATCATCATTGATATTAATTCATCATTTTTTTGGTAACAATTAATTGATTTCTGTAAATAAAAAAAAACAACTTGCTAGTTGAAAACATTTGCAATTAATTAATTGTCACAATTAAATAAGAATATCACTTAATCACATGAGAATAAAAATTCAACTCTAGTTAATTGTTGTGATGATTAAAAACAAAATGAATGATACTAATTAGTTACCTTGGTTAGTAAATTGTTTTTTATTGTCATTGTTTTCATTTGGCTAGTTAATTGTCTTAGCTAAAGATTAATTAACTTGTTGATCACTTAATTGTCAAGACATTAAATCAATAAGTATATTATAGGAAAATGTGATATTTTGATTAGTTTAATTTTCAGATTAGACAATTAACTTCACATTAATAAATATTAATTCAATTTAATGATAACAATACTGACTTTACGGATCACTGATTGTTCAACCTTAATTGTAACCTTTAACAATTAACCTTGAAGGTTATCATTAGTTAAAAGGGAGAGTATGTAACTTGGTAAATGATTAAGTTAATCAAAGATTGAATTAAATTGTTATTATTAGTTGGGATAACAATTTACCCTCCCAGCAGTTGATAATGATAATTGTGCAATATTGTTGATGATGATTAACTAACAAACAGTTTAATTGTATATGTTGGGATTTACAATCAAAAAGAGTCGATTGGTAAAACAGTAATTAGTTAATTGTGGGTGGTAGATAACTAATTAACTCACCTGGTGATGATTTAAATGGTAGATTATCAATTGATGGCGGTGGTAGTTTGTGAAGTGGTGGAGGTTGTGGTGGTTGGATTGATGACTTTCCACAATTTAATTTGTTATTAAATTCAAATTGTGCTGATAATAAATTGTCAGTGACTTTTAGTGCAATTAAATCATTTGAAGTAGTGATGCTATTAATTGTTCTCGGTGATGTTATTGTACTTTTTGTGGTTGATGATGTTGATTGTAAGCTATTAACAGTATGTTGATCAAAGATTGATAATGGTGAAGATGATGATAAATGATGATGATGATGATGATGATCTGGTCGCGCGTGCCGCGTGCTGATTACAGGTGAAGCCTTATTATTGTTATTATTATCATTTAGATTTACAGGTAAACCATATGTTAGATGAGAGGAGGAGGTTGATGATGATGATGATGATGATGAAGATGAGGTAGGATAAAGTGAACTGTACAAAAGATTTGAAGATTTAACCAAGGCTGTTGTTGTTGTTGTTGTTGTTGTTACTGATGATGTTGTTGTTTGTGGTGTTGTTGAGGTTGATGATGAATTAGTAACTGTTTGTTTACAATCAAACCAATTAGCATCTTTGGTTGTCTCATTGATGTAAATTTCATCATCATCTTCATCAGATAAGATCAATGAACATGAGGTTGATGGTGATGAGCATTTCAATTTACTTAACCCAGATTCATTATTATAACCTGATAATATTAATGAGAGAGAAGGTAAAAAATTACTATCATTATTATTATCCAATTAATAGCCTGAGTAAATATTATATTCAACAATTAGCTTGTAATCATCATGTTCATTTACTTTGTTTCCCCCTGTCAATGAACATTGATTCATATAAGTTACATTGAACTGATTGGAACTTTTTGTTTTTCGAAAAATTTGTTTTTCTCTTTTGTCGTTTTACCTTCAATTCTCAATTAAATCATTTGATTTAATTAATCAAGACTCATTGAGTTGCCCTGGATTTACTTGTGCTAATTGTTAAATCAATTGTTCAATCAATCAGATTAATTAATCATCTTCTAATAGATAAACAATTAAATCAGGAAACTAGAAAATTAGATCAATGATCCTAACGTTTTCTTTGTAAATATTTTACTCTTTTTAATTGTTTTGAATTTATAATTAACTAAAATTAACTTAATACTTATATGGTTTGTCAAATTGTTGCTTGTGATTGTTACAATTTGCTTAACTATTTGATTTAAAACCTTTTTGTAATCAAACTAAATCAACAATCAAATGAGGATCAATAACCTAAGGTGTAAACTTTGATGAGTGTAACAATTAAAACTGTTCAGTTGTTAATTTAGTTGTGATAATTGAAAAGCATGGAAAGTATATGATTAATGTGAATGATGATAAATGATTGATTAATTGTTGTCTATTGTAGTTTAATTAAGTTGATTGCTCTCATGTTTCTAAGTTAAATGTTATTTACACCATTGAGCTGAATAAACTTTGAGATAAACTTTGAATCAAAATGAATATGAAATTAAGAAAAGTAAACATCCAATTTAATTAAAAACTTAAATTTAACAATTTGATTCAAGTTAATCAACTGATTTTCAATCTATATACAATGAAAACCCAGTAACAATTTATATTAACAATGATTAAATATTAATATCAAATTCATTGAATCAAATTACAACTTTTTTTTTGTTTGTCCGAGAAAAAAAAACACAAAATTTCAATTGAATTGAATTGAATTGAATTAAATTTGATTCAGTTGATGATAGGAAAATATAAATATAAATGCTATCAGTTAATCATGATTAAGTAAATCAATTCCGATGAAGAAAAACTTTTAACCAAATTAAATCAGATCAAATTATATGATTTTCCAGCATCACAATCAAAATTAGAATCAAATTAAATCAACTTACCTTTTATAACAATCGGTTGATAATCACTTGGTCTCTTATTAATATTCATGTTTAATTGGTTGATTGTTGTGAACAATAATTAAGCAGCAAAGTTAAGCTAATGAGAATCACAATGATTAAAGATACAATTAACTAATCAGAATCACAATTAATCACTTGAAAAGATTACAATTAATATTTTTCTTATCCAATTTTTGATTCTTTTGGGAAAATAAAAACTTCATCTGAAAACTTTTCAATTCAAATATAAAATAATAATAATTTATGGACAATGATGATGATGAGGATACCTGAGGATGCTAAAGATGAGGATGATAAGGATAAGATGATGATGATGAAAAGCATTGTCTTGATTGTTGCCCATGCGTATTTTTGGAAACTAATTGTTGATTGGATAAAGTTTCTCATCCTATGTGAGTTTATATTGACAAAAGGCGTTACCAATGTTTCTGTTCCTGATTAACTTTGTATTCCAAATTCACCCAATCAGAATCAATTCTGATCAATCTACTGAATTAATCATTATTAACATTGTCTCTTTACCTTTAATCAAATTTACCTGGCTAATTGTAAATTAACAAAGAAACTAATTGATGACATTAAGGTAACGATAATAATACAACAAAACTACTGATTAAACAAAAGGTAAACTTATCAAAGTTATTGAATCTATTGAACCTTTGGTGATTAACTAATCACCACACATATACAAACAACTAATTGTCTCTCTGGTAAATTGTTGTTATTGTTGATTGTAATTAATATTACCACTATTGCATTGGAAAACAATTGGTTACTTGTATTACTTTTAGTGAGTTAATTTGAATCATCATTGGAAATCATTTACTTTCTCAATGTTAATTACACGTTTTCTTGGACTTAATTGTTAATTTTAACCATGTAATCATGATCATGAATTAAACAATGATAATGATCAAGTGTATAGATCTCATTTATATTGATCATCATTGCTATTAAGAGTTAAAAAAGTTAAATTAGATGTTAGATTTTCAATTATTAAATTAAGTTTTCTAACCATTTTTATATTGATGAAACTGTTACATGTTTAATTGTAATCAACAGTCACTTGTTGATATTAAATAATCAAGGTAAAGACAAATACAATTCATGTACAATATTTAAATTTAATTGTTAACAATTAACAATGTTCATTGAATTGGTTACGAGTCAAATTGTCATCTTTGGATCGACATAATCTAAAGGCAATAGGATCAATCAAAAAGATGATAAAAAAAGAAATTAAAATCAAGAATGATTGGAAATCAATCGAAGACAAAAAAGTGTAATACTAGGATGCGATTATTGTGGATTAACAATTGAATCGCAATTGAAATTAAATCAGTAGATAATTTGGATGATTAACAATTTATCCAAAGGTAACAGCAGAAAGACTGGAAATACAATCTAAGGGGAAAAAATTACAGTTACAATTACAGTAAAGCAAAAATAATGGAACCTTGAAAAACATTGTTGATATATTTTCGAGGGCAGAGGTGAGGGGTAGGGTGAAAGGCCGTAGGTTGAAGGTAAGAGGAGGAGGAAGAGGTAGGAGAGGTTAAAGCAAAGTGTGTCTCGTGTCTGTGTACTATTATCATTACCTTTGTGACTCCAATCAACATGTGGCCTCCAAGTTACGTTTGGTTGGTTTACAAGTTGCTGTTGTTAATAAGGAATCAGAGGGAAGAATCAAGATGATGATGATGATGATGATAAAGCAGAGAAACAATAAGAAAATGATAATAATAATGATAATAATTAAATGAGAGAGAGAGAGAGGGAGAGGTTAACTCAAGTATGACCAGGTAAAAGGCTTTAGTGGGACACCAAAAGTTGACATACGGTAAGCTGAGGGATTAACAAAGGTTAACAGTTATGGATATTATTGTTATTAGTAATTATTATTATTGATTGTATCATTATTATTATTTAAGGGATTTGATGCCACGCGACTCCCAACTGATCTTTGGCTCTCTCACTCTCTCCTTTTTCCTCTTCTTTGACCCTCTTTGGCCCCTTGTCTTTGCTCCTGGACCTCGACCTGTTTGCCCTTGGGTAGGTAAACCTTGACCTGGTCATCGATTCAAAAACAATTTGTTTTCTTACCTTTTTTTGTTATTATTATCATCCAATTTGTTATATCATTGTCTCTCTCTCTCTCTCACTCACTCATTCATTCATTCACTCTCAATCTATGGTCTGTTGATTGTTTCACCTTTTTTTCTTGATTGTTTTAGCTTATTGATTGATTAACTTTTAACTGAATATCTTGTTTACTATTAAGTTTATTGTCGAAGACAAAATTTAATTTCTTACAAAGACTTTCATGTTTTAATCATTTAATAACAATTAAATCTACTATTTTATTGTTCCATCTCTACAATGATTGTAATTTAATTACAGCTTATCACCTTTTTTGTTTCTCAATTAAGTTTATGGTTAATTAAACTTATTAATTATTTGTTTCTTTATGATCTTTTTTTTATATGATTAAGTTTTTCCAGCCATTTGTTGTGGTTCACTTTATATTAGTTTTAATTACTTTTTATTCAAACTGTCATCTTAATAACCTAACAATTTAAAAACTTGACCAAGAAATTAAGTAAATTTCATCCATCTGAACAAGTTTTCAATTGTTTTCACTGGACAATTAAGTTCAGATTAACAAAAAATTAATACAATAAAATTTTCACAAGCGGTTTAGTTTCATTGTGAACTACAAGATGGCAGCACATAAACGCTTAATTGTTGATTTTACTTGATGATTAAAATTAACTATTAATACAATTGTTAAATAGTCCTAAAGGTAAACAAGTAGTCAATTAAGTGGATTAGTTTATCAAATTAACAAATAACAAAGAAGGTTGCTCCATAAATTATCAAATTAATTAGTAAATCTGATTTGTATAAGGATCTTTGATCAACTGATTGATTCATCTCTGTATCTAATTAAAACAATTAAACTTTAATCAAAGAAAAATATTTATCCACAATCTATGATAACATTAATAGAAAGAGTAAAAATAACAATCAAAACATTGAGATGATAATAATGATCATAGTTTCCAATGAATTGAGTGGGTTGATAATCACCATCATCACGATGATAATCATTAAAATATCATCAAGATTAAGGATATTCAATTGAATATGAATGATGATGATGATGATGATTTCGATGAAGATGAAGCAAATATCATCATCATCTTTGTAATAATACTAATGGTAAATTAAATGATAACTTAAGACATGCTCTCAACTGAATTTGGTTGTACATTTGAAATAAAAGCAATCATCAGGCTGGAAATATATTCAAAGTGATATAAATAACAAATCAACTAGAAACTGAATCAACTAATCATATAAGAACTTTTCCTTTCTCGAATTGGACCAACCAATGTGAATATAGAACATTTTCTGAACTTTTTTTCCTTTCGATTCTTCGAACAGAAAATGATCTCAAATTTCATCATTTTAATTGTTCCGAAGTGTTTTTGATTAGCCGATCAACAAGTGAGTGACCATTAGATATTCATAGATTGAGTTAATTATGTTCGGTGTTTAACTAATTATTACTATTTACTAATTGTGATTAACTTTCACCACCATCAATAACATACTGATACGAATAATTTATTTTCCTTTGGGACTATTAATTGAAACAACTTTAAAAAGTGATTTAATTGCTGTTAATTTCGTACGATTTTTTTAAGCAAAGTGACAATTAACAGGATTAACAATTAGTTGTCTTCGTATCTCTTAAACAATCAACAGGTAAGTGATTTAAATGAGCAATCAGTTGACTAATCAAATTGTTTGTCTCACTTTTTATCTTCTCATCAATTAATACAATTAAATTTAATCAGATCAACTTTACCATTGGAAACTAATTGTTACAAATTTTTGTAATCAATAAACTAATCATGATAATTGATTATGAAGGAGAACCTTAGATTAGTAAATCAACTTGATATTTGTAACAATCAATAGATTTCGACCTTAATTGTTGATCAAAATCAGAGCAATTTATTGTAAGGATAACATAGTAACATAAATAATCATATTAATAATAATCTGATTGCTATTAGTTAATAAATTGTTGCTAATAATATTACAATTAACCTTTTCTTTCAGTAATTGTAGTTTAATATATTAGACAAATCAATAAATTAGCTCTAGTTGATTGTTATTAATAGTTGACTGAGAAAATATATTAATCACTTTAATTGTTACAAGACTTAAATGTTAGTTTAATCAATTATTTGATTGTTTGTATCAGTTAATTGTTACTTGTCGTATTGAAACTTTCAATGATTTCGGATTAATTTGATCATCTGTTGATCAAAATGTCTCAAAGTTTTTTTTTCTTCTAATTGTTAATTAATAATCCGGAAGAAAGTGTTGCAATTAATTCAATCACCTTAATTACAAACAATAATCTTAATCATGTTTTAATGTTTTTTAATCATCGTGATAAAATTGGTGTGTAAACAGCAATTTAAAGTTAAATTAACATCATGATGACCAAACAATTAACATTTTGTAAACATTGATTTGAATGAACAACAATAATGATCAGTTAATTAATGTTAATTGCTGATGAAAATTGTAAAGTCAAATATTATCAAGAGATAAACAATTAAATTGATTGCGTGTTTTAATCAATGACCAAGACAATAACAATTAAACAGAAAATGCGTAAATTTTAATTTACCGGAAGATGACTGAGTTATGCAAACAATTAGTTAATTGGATAGAAAATAATCAAAATAACTAATTAATTGTAGATAAAAAAAAAGTTTAATTGTTGATTAATTTCTTTCTGCTCATTATTATTAATAATTTTCTCTTTGAAAACAGAAAAACCAAACAATCACTTGGAGGGAAAAAAAAGTTTTCCAACTTCGAGAAGATTAATTGTGATTAGTGATTAATTTAAATTCGCATGGGTTCATTATCGTCAACAATATCATCACCATCATCGGCAACAATTAACTTTAAACGAGTTAATTGTGTCTGTTGCTTTAATCTAATCGCATTACTGGTAATCTTATTTGCGATCTCAAATGAAGGTCTAGTTGAATCGAGTCGATGTCGACTTGGAATTTGTCAACGATCAGAATTACCATGTCGCCGATGTCGATTCCGTGAACCTTTAAGGTTCGGTAAACGGGCTAATCTGTTACCGAAACAAAATAGTGATCAAGTTAATGGTGACCAGCTAATTTCTAATCAAGTTAATCACGAGAATGAGAAACAGTTAATTCAACCAATCAAGGATTTCATATCTTGGAGAAACTTAATCTCACCAACAGCATCATCATTACCCAATGATGATTTAATATCAACTACAACAACAACAACAAGTTATTATCCATCATCTTCATCTTCATCTTCATCATTTAATCGTAATCCCAATCAAAACAAATCAAAACAATCAACTTCACTTTTCCTTAATTATCTTCTCGCTGATATGATTAACCCTAATCAACCAATTCCAACGAGTTTAATTGAAAAATTAAAGGAGAAAAATTTAATTTCTTACAATTACTCTTATGATAATGATAATACCGTATAATCGTATAGTGACAATCAATTAAATCATTTACTTAATTGTTATAACAATTAACTTTTAATTCAATATTTTATTTTATCATTCGTTTATTTTTCAGTTACGAAACTTTTGTTTTTCCCTCTAAAAAAAATTATATACTTTTTGTCCTCTCTCTATTTAAATTGTTGCTTTAATTGTTGTAAATTAAGCAGCATCATGAAAATAATTTAAATTGCAATCAATTGTATTATTATCAATTAACTATTATCATCGGAAATTAAATTTCACCATTTTCACCAACTTACATGTAAATTGTTTCATTAATCATAAAATCTTGAAGGGGTTTTTCTATTGTTTATTGGGGAAATTTACGTCTTTTAAGAGACAAGGGGAATAATTCAGACTAACAAATTCGAAGATTGGACCTGCCCTTCAATAATCAGGTCAGTTCAAGTTCGATACAGGACCACTCTATGAGTATGTGAATTAATCTACTATGATTTGAATTTAAGTTCAAGATACTTTATTGAATTTTTAATGTGAACTAGTTAAGAAATGAAAATTAACTGTTAACTTCTTATCTCTCATTGTGTCCTTTTATACAAAGATACATAAGATGTCAGAAGTTGATTAAATTGGGGGGAGATACAATATAAACGGACTGGTTTGCTTAATCAGACTTTTGTCTGTTGATACAATCAAGCTTAAGCTTAATCCAGCTAATCAGTACAAAGATAAGTAAAGCTAGTGATAAATTATTAATCTTTGATTAATAATGGTTTACAAAAAGAAAGAGAGTTTGTTTCTCTTACTCAAATTGGCACTTTTAAGAGTGTTTAAGCTTTAGCTTATCTAAGCGTTAAGACAATAGAAAATGTAATTAAAATAAAATCAAAAATTAAAGAAGATTAATTAAATGAATGATTAAAATAAAAAAAAGTAATCAACACCAATTGTTGGTGGGTTCAATTTTTCCACCCTTCACATCCGTGGACCATGATTAAGAAATCTCATCAACACTTGGTGGCTGATTCTTCGGGATCTTGGTTCCGGTGCTTGGTTTGATTCTTCAGAATTCATCTCTGGGCTGTATCTACGTGTGGATAAAACAAATCTCGTCGCACTTGACTTGAGGGTAATCGTTTCACTTCCGTGTACAATTAATGAACCACTTGATTGAGTTGAAGTTGAAGCTTCTGGGGGAGAACTGGTTGTTGACATATATAATAAATGATCATCCTCAGGAACAATTTCAGTTGCACTTGATTCTTCAGAATCATTGGTTCTCTGGGAATCGGGAATTTCAGAAAGAATTACAGTTTGTTGGGAATCAGAATTCGAAGATTCAGATTTAGGTGATTCCAATGGTGAATCAAAACTGATTAATTCTTTTGCTCTCGGAGGAGTCTGTTGAATTGGTGATGGAAGAGATCGTCTTCCGGGTGAGTTGTTGACACTTGAGGCTCTTGATGAATGAGTGTTGGTGGTAGCAGCGGGTGAAGCACAAATATGTGAATCAAATGACGGAACTATCCGTGAACCATGATTGTAATACGACCAATCTTGTGCCATTCGGCTTTACCAGACTTTACTAATTCATCATACTTTATAAAGTCTTGAGACTTTGTTGTTACAAGTTTGAGCTGAGTTGGCAAAATGGATTCCATCTTCGAGGAATTCACATCGATCTTCGATCGCTTTCCATGCGCTCATGTAGAGTTTCATGGCGGTTATGGCTTCAATGCCGGGCGAATGAGGACCTCCAGGGATTACGAATCCACCGAAAAGAAGGAATGAGATTAGAGACAACGAAGCTGGTTGCGTGTACAACGGGGAGAAGTATTGGTTTACGTCTCGAATACGAGGCTTTAAGGTCTCAATTTCTTCATTTTCAAGATCTAAAGATCTTAACAGGTTGATTATTCCAGCGCCAATAATTTGAGAAGCACAGGCAAAATAAGTTAACACTTGATCTCTAACTGAAGTTAGATTTTTACCATGTTTTAAATCTTCAAATTTCAATCCATGGAATCGAGTATCCATTCGGGCGATATGATGATGCTGGACGAGGGTTTCATAGACAACATCTAATTTACCATCCACGATGATGACCCATATTGGTCTTGGTGCCAATACATGACCTTCACGTCTTCGATATTCATTGATTCGACAGTACGCTGCATGTATGGAGTAAATTGTCTCAGGATTTGGATGTTGTTGAACATTGTTCATGATTTTCTCTTCAATTGAGCTTGGAAGAGCTGGTAAGTTGATTGTTGTTAACGTTTTAAAACGATACGAAGCTGAAGCTTGTCGATTCTTTCGGACAACAGCTTTTTCAAGATTTTGAATTGGAGCGGGTTCATCGAAGTTTCTAAAGGAACGTAAAGATGGGAACCATTGCATGATGTTTTCCGAAACAATCTTTTTTCGTTCTTCGCTTAAGCGATTGAGGGGGTTAATCCTAATAAAAGGTACTTCGATATCTGGTACATCAGGTGAGGGACTAACTTGAGCTCTTTCTCGCCTTGGTCGAGGTTTACCTTGGGCTAGTTTAAGCCACTCTTCTGAATCATCGATCAGATATTGAGGGACTGACGACCATCGATGAGTCCTTGGTCTTGATCCATAAGGAGGAACTTGACGCTTACCAACTGTTGGATCGAATCCAATCGTTTGAATATATTCTTCAGCTTCTCCTAAAGGATATGTGGGGTCTATTTTCTTTTTGTAATTTTCCCAAAAATTCAATCTCAAATTAGTGAAACTGCGAATAGTAGTTGGAGCCATCATTGGATCATTTGGATTTTCTTCTTTAGCGTTCATTAAACAGGCATAAACCTCAAGGTTTCCTTTGGTTCTTCCTTCATGGGTATCATAAGATATCGGCAATCTTTCAGGAATTGATTTAAGATGCGGAGGGAAGAAATTAAATAGTCTTTTAGGACCTTCACTTAGTTCAGCACGAGTTTGTCCAGTTTTAAATAAATGAATGGACTCTAAATCAATCTCGTGACGGAAAAGTCCAAGTCGACAGTTTTCTCGTGTTTAATGAAGTCATCAGGCTTGACATCAGCGTAACAATGTGTACGACGGCAGACAAATTTACTCTTACAATACTTGAGTAAGTGTTTGATGAATCAACTTTTCCAAATGTTGAGTAATCATCAGTGGTTGCTGCTCTGAAGGCACATTGAGGATTAAACAAAGAAATTTGTTTGGTTGATCAATAGGAATCAACTTTAAGGTTGGCACTAATTCTCTAAGGAATTCGATACACAATCGACAATACCACTTTCGACATCCAGTACAACAATGAGGGTTCAATGAAATTTGTTCACATAAGTGACATCGAATTTCTTTTTCGATTAGCTCTAAGGCTTCATTGATGACATTGGCTTTTGAAATTCCTCTTGGAATCTTGGGTAATGGAATCGAGAAAATTGATTTATCGTGGTACAAATTTAAATATAACTTCTCACGAATCAGCTTTTCAAATTTCTGTTTGATTTCTGAGAAAGTTTGAGCTTTCTGGTCGATTTGTTTCTTAATTTGTTGGTATCTTTCGATTGACCAATACTGTGGAATTGGGCCAGTGGGCAATGGGTTTGGATATTCATCCTTATCAAAGAAATGATCAGATGGGAGAGGATAACGATTAGTTTTCACTTCCTTTGGGCTCTCATTTTGTTTAGACAAATTTTCTCTACTTGAAGAGTTTGAGCTCGTAGTTGAGGGAACTGGAGATGATGGATTGTTCATTTTCTTCTTTGAATTAGTTGAACTGCACGATTCACTTGACGAAGATCTTTTAAGAGATGAGTAGATCGGAGTTGTGGTTGATCTTTCACTTTTACACTTGTAATGTTCTCCTGGCCGAAAATTGGCTTGACCTTTATCTTGGGGGTAACGAGTTTCTTTAAGGAAAATCGGAGAATCACTTCTATGAAGATGAGTATCAGCTCGAAAAGTCGAGGTTGAAGGTCGATCAGGGTTAAAATTAAATTGTTCACCAGTTACAAGAGTACAAGTTAATTGTCGAGAGTCAATTTGAACTGAAGGTTGATCACTTTGGTCCATTGTTTTTATATCAATTTGATTGTCGCACAATTGAAGACAAAAGCAGTAGCTTTTAATAGCTAATTTTTCACTTATGATGATTAATTTATAACTAAAGTTATAAAAAGCTAAATTGTTGACAACACAATTAAACAATTTGATTAATTTATCAAAATTAAAATAATCAATATTTAAATAATTAATTATAATTCTTAAAAATTGATCTCTAATTTCAATACGAATCTTAAGATTGTTGACTTGACACTTGTTAGTTTCAAAATGAAAATTCGATTCGAATTTAATTGGAAGAGAAAATGGCGGCGCTTCTTGTTGCCAAGGATCAATATGAAAGCCGATTTTGAGCTTTTCACATAAGTTGGTTTCAATTTTTTCTTCTTGATTGTCAATTGTAAAACAATGGTAAAGAATAAACAAATTTTGATCGGTGATTAATTGTCTTTTTGATCGTGTGAACGGTTTATCATCATCATTTAATGTTGATTGTGAAGTGATTAGCTTATCAGCGCTTAATCTAGTTTTCTTTTTACAATTTAAGTTGTTTTGTGTTCTACTGGTTCTTGTGATTTCAACTGTATCAGAATCTGTATTGACTTTTGACTCTTCATCATCAATTTGATTAAAATCATCATTTTGACTTAAATCATCATCATTGTTGGGATTAATTAAATCAGAGGATAAAGTAGGATTATCATTTGTATTAACAATTTCATCTTCTTGAGAAGGTAAGTCTAGATTTTCATTTTCTAGATAAGTGTCTGAGTTGAAATAATTGTCTCTGATTTTTGTCATTTTTTCTGTTACTTCAGATTTATAAAGTTTTGTGTTAGAAACATTGACTTTAATGACTGTAAGGTCTTCTAAATCCAAAAGGATTAAGCATCCAGATCTATTACCTAAAAGTAAATAGGGACCTAAGTAAGCATTTCTTATCTTTTTGCTAAATTGTTTGTCTACTGACTCATTTTTAACACAAATGAAATCTCCTTCTTTATAAGGTGATTGGGGGTGAAGTTGTTTTAATCTGTTGATTTGATAATTTTGTTGGGCAATTAATCTTGCATGGGCTAATTTTCTAGCTTGTTCAGAATTTACTGAATTGTCAGGGAAATAAGGGATGACATTGTCAATTGGTTTGATTGGGTGTTTACCAAAAACGAGGTAATAGGGACTAAATCTTGTGATTTTGTGGATTGAGGTATTAA